TTTTCAATAACGGCCATTGAAACCACCCGTGTCTTCGCCATCAAACGAGAGGACACGATGTCTTTATTCTCGACGGCGTTGCATAATCTACGACAGCTGGAGCGATTTGCTCGTGGTCGTTTGCGAGCGAGATCCACGCTGCATCTGGTGCGTACTCGGATTTTTTAGCCGGTGGGCAACCGTGTTAGTCTCGAGAAAGGGGAGTCCGAAATGGAGGATACAGTTGAATCGTGACGATCCGGTGGCGTTTCGCGCGCGGTGAAACTGGGAGGTGCCAATTTGCAGGTGCAAAGTTCACGCGACGCTCGGGGTAAACCGCTAATGAGGGTTCGAGTGTTACGTGTGTGCGACGCGTGTAGATTTTCGAGGGGGGAAGGGGGGGGGCAGGTTAATTACCCTCTAGCCGGTATTATGGCGTGCTTTTTCGCGTCTGTTCCATTCTATAATTCTCGATGCGACCAACAGTTATTCAGAGCGACTCGGTCATTGTCAAATATTTCAAAGTCGCGTGTTCATTCCCTGCCAATTAACGACAGTTCGTTAGTCGCGAAACGCAATAATTATTCTTCCTTTGCTGCTCTTAGAAACGGCAAGTCATTCGTTGGTTCACGATTCGTGTAATTCCGAAGCGACACTTAAGAAGAATGCCTCCATTAACACGGATATATTAATCGTCCCTGTATAAACACGAATTCGGACAATCGAAATTTTATTTCGCGCAAATAGAACCGGGGGATCGAGCCGGAAGAGGGTCGACGTATATCTTCGAGAAGGTTCAAGATGGGTTCCTCTAAATCTGCTGGCCGAAAGAAAGCTAAGATCTTTGATTCCCGTAACTCAAAAGGACGAGCCGGTACCACGGGTACCCTTTCTTTTACTCGCTTTTTTTCCCTGTCGGACTTAAGCATCCCTAGTGGCGCCTCTCTCGGGATATAAATTAATTAGATTTGTGTGGAGGTGTGTCAGCAAAGTGCCGGCACTGTGTTTCTTGCCCTACGACTGTCTGCTCTGCCGCGTTTCAAGTCGACCGAATGGCCTACTCTCCGCTATATACAGATGGTTTCATAACTTTTCGCGTATATTTATTTCTTTGCGTAAAAGTCCGGCCAGTTTGCTCTAAATTAGCCGCGTTAACGTTCCCCACTCGCTCTCGTTTCGAGTATTTAAACTTCTCTTATAGGCTGAATCATGAATTATTAACGAGCAAGAAACGATATCGGCTGGCGCGAACTCGTGGAAAGTGCGTGTTCATTGACGAGAATGTTTGCGAATGAGATATTTTCTGGGAAAATAGCGAGCAACGAATAACCTTGCGTGAAGTTTTTACGATGGAAATTTATTAAGAACGCGTGCAACACCTTTGAAGCGGCGTATACGTCGACAGGTAGGTCTGAGCATAACGCGTGATGTATGGTGGGCGTGAAACGGGCGTAGCAACATAGTAACGTTTACTATACCGACCACAACCGACTAGCGGTTCTCTAGACGAATTCGTGCAACCGGACCACGATTCTAGAATTAACTTTGCCCATCCTGTCGATATCGATCTTTCCTCTAACGAGGAAATTTTCGCGGATTTTCTCGCCCGAAGGAAACGACCACGCTTGCCGCTGTAAAAGGGAAAGGAATGTTAAAATATGCTAGCAGCGCGATTGCGTCGTTTTGTCGCGCGTTTCCCTTTCGATAATGAACTATCGTAAATTGGATAAATAACCCTTTATCGTGTTGAACTATTAAAAAGGTGAGGGCATTAAAGCGTCGCGATGTTGTTTTGTCGTTAACCGTGTAAAGAATGCTAATTATACGTGTACTTGTCACAAGTCGCAGATTGACGCGATACATCTGTTAAGGTGTCCGTAACGAATTACAATGGAACAAGCAGTCGCGAGGAGTTCAATTATTATGCATCGTTTCAGGTAACGAGCGCGATTACGGTAAAAGCAAGAAAAATATATAAGTATCGTCGATAAACGGATCATGAACGTAGCACTTGGTACATGTTGCCCCCTTTATAAAATATTACCCGTAATTGCGAAACCCGACGTATTTTAATAATTCGGTTTCTACGTACGTGCCGTAAATGGTTACGTATCAGCCCGTAATATTAGAAAATAATTACGAATTTTATCGATCGTTTCTACATATACCCTTTTACATATCTTATCACGGTCAAAGCGAATAAGCTACACCTCGTAATTACGACTTAGTTTCTGATCAAAGCGAATAATTTATAACGATGCTGAGCGTATGACGTCTTTGAATGTAGAAAGTAGGAATTACGAGTTTGAAAAATATCGGAATGTAAGAAATATCGAGCTTACGAGGTGAAGCGTATCGCGTGTATACGTATAGAAAAGAAAACTCACGTTTATGTTGCCGAGATGCGTTGGAGGGCTGATACCCCTGCGGCTTCCGCCGCCACCGACCTCGGCGTCCAGCTTGCCGGCTCGATTGACCTCGTGGATCCAAAAAATCTTGAAAAGATGCGTCGATACGGTTACAGCGATCTTCGAACAGTCCTGTTCGATCCTCAGATTGATCTGTCCACGCGCCACTGTCCACACTGCGCAATAAAAAGCACTATGTATCACAAACTTGGATCACTGCCCGGTTAACGTGATAGAGAAACATTCTATTCCACGAGACACCAGTGTATCGTACCGCTGCTCGAAATCAACTGAGAAATTTCCCACGCGTCGTGCCCTTCGAAAATACGAAGACGGAAGCGATATCGAGCGAGTGAAAACAAACTGCCGGCCGAGAGCTCGGTCCGAAATACGCAAATTCCAAAGCCCCGAGTAAGTCACCGGACGTATAGTAAACACAGCGGCCACGACGTGGATGTTATTTCTCGGAATTTGTTCACTGAATGCTCGACACAATGGCTAATGTAAGAATACTTTGGAAGGAAATCGAAGGGGCAGAGCCGAAGGTTACTAAACACAGGCACGTAAAATTGACATCGAAACACTGTTCGTCCATGTTTACCGGCATGTTGCGAGATAGGAATGACCGACAAAAGAGGTGGCCGCGTTACGAAAAAGGTAGAGGAATAGACAAAGGAGCAAACGATCTCGATGACAATTGGCGCGATGGTGATTTCGCGTACGAGGAAACGAGCGCGTGAATCGCGAACGTGTATCGGTCAAGGATCGAGACCGGTCTCGACTTGATCGGTGACATGCGCGTAGCTACGAACCTGTTCGTCCATTCTTCGCCCCCTCGACGGTATTAGCGCGTGCATTCGTCCGGTGGCGATGGTGAAAAGCGAACATTCACGGGTATGGACAGTGACGACGACGACGACGGCGGCGACGAGTCGGCGTGGTGCGTATCCGCCTTAAGGGCCGTCCGTCGCAGACGCATGCTCGCGGCACGTCGCAGCCTCTCGCACTGACCGCGCGTAACACGTAAGAGAGAGCTGCGTACTGTGTACTTGTCTCTCTCTTCCTCTCTCTCTCTCTCCCTCTCCTCTTTAGACCAAGCTGTGCAGCTTTGTCGCGCTCTCGACAACTCGTTCGACTCGCGTGTCTCTTTCCTCGGCGACCGGTGCGGTTCTCTTCCTCGTGGCGGTCGCTGCTTGAGAAGGCGGCAAACAGGAGACACGGGTCTCGTCACTCTGGACTCTGTTTGAATCTCTTGCGTACTAACTTCGCGGCTATCCGCGGTACTCCACGGCGAACGTTGAACGCGAGCCTGGAATTGCCGTGGCGCCACCCCTCCTCTCCTCCTCCCTCCTACCCTTCCACCCATCCACCTGATCGTCTTCCTCCGTGAGTGCCACACCACGGGGCTTGTGTTGCCTCCTCCGCCTCGTCCCTCCCTATTTTTCCCTATAATTTGCTTCGCGGCTGCCTCTTTTTGTTTTATTCCGTTTTCGTAACCTCCTTCACCCTCCTCAGCCTCTCGCGCCCTCCCCCGGCCGTTCTCTCGCTTTCCGACCTTCTTCCCGTCCCTCTTTCTCTTTCGCCATCTAGCTTTCCCTCTCTCGCGCTTCTTCTACCTCTATCATCGTGTCTGTCTCTTTGCCTCTACCTCTACGTGCCAGCCATGAATCCTTGCCGGGGCAACGGGGCTACGGGGCTACAGCGCGCCGCCCCCTTAATAGGGCTACGCGGGCTTTTTCCATTCACAGTGCAGCCATCTCTTGGCTGGAATACGAATGAAACGACCCGTTACAGTGCCGTACGTGTTTCAACAATTTCCCCAAATACTCTTCAATTCCCTCGATACACGCGCAAAAGTTTCTCTTTCGCGGCACGAACAAAACCGTCCAATCTTCCTCGCGAATCCGACCACCGGCTAAATTTCTCTTCTCCATTCGCGAGAAATTCAACGTCTCTCGATTACGGACGGTCCGACGAGATATTTCGGGTGGGATCCGTGAAATGATATCTTTCTTTTTTTTCTTTATTGAAACACCTGCCAGGTAAGAAATTATCCAGGACTACTAGGACCAAGGGCTGTTTTCTCGAGTGCCTACGTCGCATTGTGCTCCTTGGGCGGGACTCCCGATGTATCGTATGACAGGAAGATGTCAGGAAGGAACCTGATATACGACAGAGGGATGATTCGTTATTATGTGAATTTTCACGGTAAATCGAGGTTCTAGTCCGTATAAAATTTACGTTTCTTTCGATCATGTAGGGTCTACTGTTGGGCATCGCTTCTCAGGGATACCTATTAGCGAGCGTTTATGTTGTCGGATCTAATATCACGAAATCCGAGGGACATACACAGATAGACATTGTTATATTTTTTATCATTCGAATTATATAACTAAATTATAGTCATATAAACTGGTACATAATTTACAAAAATATACAATCTTTGTTTTTATATACATTAATTACAGAAGAAATAAAGGAACTTTCGATAACGATGAAATTATTTACAGGGACGGACGTACTGAGGTCTCCAGTCGTACCGGTCCAGTACAGCGATAATTTTACTTAAATTTCTGTTTTCATGACGTTTCAAAGACTAACGTTGTACTCGAACATTTTCAATCCAGCTTGCCATTTCCGAGCCTAAATCATAGCGTATTGTCCACCGATCGAAGGATACGGATTCTGCGTGGATCCAGGGGGCAACGAGTTCTCCTTGTTGGATTCCTTTTTGCTCGCGGAGCTTTTCTTCTTTTGATTCTCGTGCGTTTTCACGTGTTTCGTCAAATGATCGCTTCTCATGAACCTTTTGCCGCACGTAGGACAAGCGAACCTTTTCTCTCCCGTGTGCGTTCGAAGATGACGCTGCAGTTCATCGCTCCTGGTGAACCTTTTGCCGCAGAAGAGCCAGTTGCAGACGAAAGGTCGTTCGCCGGTATGCCACCTGAGATGTGCCTTCAAATGAGAAGTTTTACCGTACACTTTACCGCATCCTGGCACGTGGCATACGTGCTGTCTCTTGCCGTCGACTCCGAGTTGAGCTCCGTTGTCCGTTTGGCAGTTCGGGCATCGACATCTTATACACTTTCTGCCAGATTTTCCGGTATCCTCCGTGGTCAAGAAGTGGTGATCCGCTGGTGGGGTGAGGGGCCACTGATAAGAGGAAGCGTGATCTTGAGGACTCGGTGGAAGATCCGGCGGACTTGGCGGCAGCGAGTAGTGTTGAATCGCGGGGATAGCCGTGAGTTGAGGCTGCGCGAGATGAGTTTGAGTGGTCCACGAGGTTGTACTGCTAGAAACACTTGGCATCGTGTACGCCGGCGGCGTGAGCGGCTCCGTAATTTGACTGTGACTCGTTGAGCCAGGATACCAGTAGCTGGATTGGCTGGTCTGAAGATGATGACTGCTTAATGCCGGATTATACGGTTGATAGTGAATGCCTGAACTTCCGTAGTCAATTGTGGCAGGTTGATGCATCGGCATTGGTAGGCTAGACAATGGCGCCATGCCTGGCATCGGCGACATCGTCGGCATGCACATCTGTAATACAATAGATTCGAAATGACTTTAAAGTTCAGCGAAAACGTTACCTTTCAAGGACAGCCAACGAGGACTATCCGTGCCTGTTGGTAAATATCGAAAGCGAAGATTCGTATAATCTGTCGACATTAGTCGTTGAAACCGATCACTTTTCGACAGGAATTTCACACAACCGACCGAAATCACATTTGACACTGTCGTTTCACCGATTTCTCGATTACTCTCTACGTCTACACAGATTTATCGGTACGGACCTGTTGATACTGCATCACTTGTGCCATCACTTCACTTCCTGGTACTCCACGGTTTTCTCTGCAGACGTACTTCGCTGTTGACTTGTCGCGTATTCGCGATACGAGACGGAGGACAAAATGATTCCGTAATCTTGATCACTGGTACTCTATGGCCAAGTATAGCGAAAACGAAAACGAGAAGGAAAAGGAAACTGAAGAGAGCCGTGGCCGGATCGGAGCGTGCGCGGCTTCGAGCGTTCGCCAGATAATTGCTGGTTGCCGACCGTGTCGCCTCGGTTTTAATAACCGAGTGGACAAGGAACCGACGAAGAAGGGAGGAGGCTGAATGCTCTGCCGAGTTTCTCTATGGAGGAGGGGATAGACCCCAGTGAATCCTGTAGCCTGGTGCGCATGCGCCCTCCCCTCTACTCGCTCATAAATCAACCCTGCGTTCCGAGGATAGAGGATCGAGGATCGAGGCTACGCACCTTTTGTGGTCGTCCCTGGGGGCTGCCTTATGCCACCGAGGAAAGTCTTCGTGAATCCTACGATATTCTCTCGAGAGCATCCAGTTTCTATAAATCCTCGTGTTTTACGGTAACCTCGAATCTCTTATTTTTAACCAATCCATTCGTAAAATTAACATCGTAGAAAAGATACGAACATTTAATCGCGTGTCCTGGCTGCGAGAAGCTCTGTCGTTTACGTTCCAATTTTTATAAACGTATAAAATTTTTCTTCCATTAAACGACTAGATGGTCGTTCGTCGTGATTCTGTTTTGCAAAAATCAGCTCGTCCATTTCGTTCACGTAGACACAATAATACTGGAGCTTTTTTCGTACTGCACTGCTTAAATAGCATTCGACCTCCAGGTGAAATCATTGCTTCACGATTCGACCGCCCAAGATTCGAGGAGCAGTCGACTTGGAGGGTAATAATTATCGGTAGAAACGGTAGGAGGAATAAGCTTAATCGTTCAAGTTTAATTAGTGGATAAAGCATTTTGGTTTAATTAGCGGTCCTACGTGCCGACGTCTCGCCGTGTCGAATTCAATGCGCGTTGTCGCAATTATATAACGTCAAATTGTCGTATACAGAAATTACCTTTCATTTTATTTCGAATAATTTTACGAAGTTGATAAAATCGTTTGCCGTTTTAATTCCATCCTTGACGTATTCGTCACCCTCTTATCGTTTCAACGTTGACAGGCTAAAAACGTGCAACCTAACCTCGTATTGGGAATAAGTTAGGCGAAAACGCGCAAATCTTTCGGCATTCCGTGACTGGAAAAGTTGGAGCAGTACACCCCGACTGGAAGTTAGGTGAAAGGAGTCAAAGTAAAATTTTTACGGTATTTAAGCTTCTTTGATGAGGCTGAATGGAGGCGGACGAGAGTTGCAAAGGCGTATCAAAGCGTAGAAAGGCCCGCGACGGCCTCGGGTGCACAGAAGCATGTGATAACGGAGACCAGTTTCCCAAGATTCTCGGTACGCTTTGTGGCGTACGTCGTACCATAAATCTATAAAAGATCCATGGTCCATGCTAGAAGGGAAGGTTCACAATACATCGTAGCAACTGGAACTGAGCTGCACAAGCTGCACAAAGTGTCGGTTTATGGTGGTCGTAAAGCGATCATTGGCAGGACGAAGTGACGACACTTTCGTGCTACCGATCAGTACCAGATAGGCACCATTATTGCGCTCTTCC